GTTTTCGAAAGCACGTTATTTGGTAACATACCGACGCCGAAGGCGGAGGGATGTTACCTAAAATAACGTGCTTGAGGAAGTTGTGATAAAATTATGAGTTATTTATCAATGTTCGAGGGATATTCAATGAGAAAATTTTTTGCAATTCGAACAAAATTATTTATTGAACACACAGTTATTAAAAGAACAATTCGTATAATGATATTCCATTGATCTTGCTGTATCTGCCTCGGTTACTGCATAGGTGTTTCCACGCATACTATTGATTATTTGGTTATGATGTTCCTGATCAATATTCAAATATGAACACCAAAGCGAGGAAGTGACATTTTCGAAATAAATTGAATTACTGAAATGTCAAACAACTTTATTGTGTTGGTTGCTTGGCAATGTCATGACATAAGTGATAACTACCCGTGAAAACTATCCATGGGTAGTTATCAGTGTAATGATGGTTTCATTGGTTATTTCGACACACATGACTAGAAATAGACAAATTTGATAGGATAATTTTTTTGGCAAAAAATTTTCATGTGAATGAAATAATCAATAGAAGGTATAGGATATTAGGATTCGTAATTAGGAATTCCAGTAGATTCACTCATATGAAAACATTGATAATGGTATACAAAACGTATGTCAGCAGCATACTTGAATACGCCTCTATCGTCTGGTCACCGTACTACGAAAAATATAAAAATGAAATTGAAAAGGTTCCGAAAGGTTACTGGCAATCTAATTATAATCACAGAACCACACCTCTATTTCCCCTTCCTAAAGCTTACAGTAATCTTGGCAAAAATGCACCTCTCTGTAGACTTACAAAGTTATGAATGATTTAGTTCCCATCATAATATCGAACAACGCTTCTTTTTTCAGAAACAATATATTTTCACCTCATCACAGATTGGTGACTTGAAAAATGAGCAAATTAAACGAAATAAAATATGCTAATCGAGGCAAAAACGCACCTCTCTACAAACTATGTCAGTTTAGAATTAATTTGGATTTTTTATGTTCGGTTGATAAACATATGTATATGGCAATATATGTGTATATATGTATGTACATATTTGTATATGTATATATGTGTGTATGTAGAGATTCTTCATTTATCAATCACATACTAAAAATTGTACAATGATAATATTCACTCTTAGAAACTTGTACTAATAGAGTAGTAATTTTTTTATATAATTGTGTATATTCATTATAATAAATAGTTTTGTAGCTCACTGAATCATTAACAGTTAAAATTGTAATCAATTAATGGAATCTCTTTTCTGTAAATTACATATAAGTAGAATAAAATAAAATAAATAAATAAATACTTTCTAATTTCTAATTCAGTTATAGTTTGCAAACAACTACCGCCATCTCTAGGTCAGGCCGAGTACTTCTGAAACAACTGTCGTATTAGTTCTCAACTTCTGAGAGTTATCGTTCGTATGGGGGCGATAGCTGATCAAGGGAAAAACATATTTTTAAAACAGACAGACAGATTCTTCCTGAGACGCCAATTTGGTCGGTGAAACGCGCGCCAAAAAGAGTATTGCAGTTCTGATGACTGGAAAAAGTGCATCTTTTGGGTAAATTCGATAATTTACTTTCGAATTATTTGCCTTCTTTCTATGTAATTCATTCCATATATTGTGTCAAAGATATTTTCCGGGTTTTTTAGTTGTGGTCTGCAGGTTTTCATACCTGACGTTTCGTCTACTACTGCGGTAGGCATTATCAAAGGCGACAAGGTAACAGTCGAAGTGTTCGAAATTGTTGTTCTCATTGTTCCCAACGCAAAAACCACCGGAAACCCGGAACCCAGAAACCCGGAAAATTGCTTTGACACAGTTATTTATGGCCGTGAAACTTTAAATTCGATTTCATATATTATCTTTGCCCAACATGATCTAGATTAATAAACTATGTATTTCTGTGAACTTCGTAATAAAAGTGGCAACTCTGCCAACAACTATCAGTAGTTGATATCGTCGCGGTCCGAACCACTAACTGCCTCTCTTAATTACCCATTACACAAACAGACCGACTTTCTTTGATATCCACCGATTTCGGGGATATGGGCCTTTCTCTATCACACGCTCTTCACAGGACGAAGTGGGCCGTACTGTACCGGCAGGAATTCCGCAAAAACACGGATTAATATTCATGAACCCGTTCGGAGCAGGAGCGCTCATTGTTTTGGTTTTGAAATATTTGGTCCGGTATACCACCGAATACAAGATGATTGATAACTTAGAGATTATAATGTTTGTTCGTCTATAAGAAAATGGTTCGTTTATAACTTTTCAATTTCAAAGGAAAATCGAAGTTTCAAAAATGATTCTGACTTCACTACCATCGAATCACATTCCAAAATATTTACAGGGTGGGTCAACAAGAATCCATCGGTCCATTGCTATCAGGGAAAACAATTTTTCGAATTGCTCAATTTTTTTCGCAGTCATATCGATAAATACTATTTTTTTTAATTTATTTTCTCGCATACTGGGTGATTTAGCCCAGCGTGGCCAACCAAAGTTATATTTTCTAAGTGGAACACCCATTATATGAATAAGTCATTCGATTCCATATTTTTTAGATAGCTACGGAATTTTTGTTTTCGAATTTCCATTGTGGCATTGCCGCAAGGTTTCGAAAACGAAAATTCCTCAGAGAGCTAAGAAATATAGAATCAAATGACATATTCATATACTGGGTGTTCTATTTAATGGTTGGCCACGTTCGGCTGAATCAAACAGTATGCAAGGAAATAATTTTAAAAGATATTATTTAAAAATACACGAATGACTATATGACGTAACTATTAAATTCATACTACTTAATTGAATATGTATTTAACCAAATTCCAAATAGAAGAACAATAATACAGGAAGAAAAAGTATATGTAATATGAATAAGTTTTGCGGTGATGCCATGTTCATATAAAATATTAGTGACATCACGACCATCGTTTTTACTTGATTTTGAAAAAATTACTGAAAGTAAATTTAATAAATTAAAAACAAGTTACTATCATCACACATGTAGTTTTTACCTATACGGTTATCCCCGGAATAGTGTACAGGTCCTGTCGGTATCTGCTTTCTATTGAAAGAGATTATGAGAGTGTGCCGTGTGAAATACAAGTGACATCGACAGAATTTAAGAGTGAATCCCAACATGCCAAATACCTTACCTTGAGAATGTAGACGTCAGTAAAATTTTCATAAATTTCAACAAAACGCGCATATACTGGGTGACAGCGAAATAATTGTGGAATAAGAAATTTGATAGTCGAAACGAAGGCTTACTCGTAATTTATTGAAATCTATATTTCTACTCATGAATCAACTGAAAATTCATATCGGTTAGAACGAAGGTGACCCCAAGTCAAAAATCTACATAAATCAATCACGTTTTCATAGAGTTGATTTTTCTGGAAATATTTGTTTTTCTATCTTCCTGTTCTGTTCTGTTTTTTGTGCTGCGTATGGCTAGGAAATATTCCAGTCGTAATTAGTGATAAGAATAAATGAAATCAGTATAATTTTTTTTAGTAAATCACCCCCCACCTATTCGACTAACAACTGAATTCAGAACTATAAAAATCATGGAGTTTCAAAAGGTATCATATGCCCCCTTAAAATTTTGCATAAGCAGTTTATAATGAATAAGGTATATAGTGTGTTCAAAACCGAGTTTTCAAGTCAGAACTGTGGCAACTTACTCAGTATAATTCTTAAGATTTTTTCCTTCAATAAGGCCGATCGTTTCAGTTAGCTACGTCAGAATTAAGTAGACTCATCATCCTGGATGGAGTATCTAGAAGAGGAGAGAATGATGCAAAGTCGAATTTGGCGAAGCGCCTGTCTTCTATCGTTTTGAGATTGTACTAAAAGATACAGATCAATGCCAACATAAATGATAGTTGGTTCGAAGGTTGAAAAAATACTTTTTGGGTTTGAGCCACTAAGTGGCCCAAATCCAATCGATCGATAGGGATGTGGACAGGAATACCACTTTTGGCAACTATCAGACAGACTATGAAACTTTGAATGAAAATATTTCACTCGATAACTATTAAGACGGATTTCTTATTATGTCTCAAAGATTGAGCTAGTAGATCCAAAATTCCTGGAACAAAATATTTTAAAACGCTTTGACTCTAGGTTTAATGCAAAACTGAAGATATTTTAATACCCAAAAATATTTACTTTAATGTACCTAACATTACAACATAGCAGCGATAGGAAGAAACAATTCCTTACGGGAAAGCGAGAAGCCTGAAATGAAAAGTGGAATGTTGAGGGTCTCTCTCATCTACCTGATTACACAGTCTAATTTTTTACAAAATTGTCTCGGGTTAAAACAAAATACAAATTGGTAGTAAAAGTCCAATTGAAATTTAAATCCTACTGATGTCACTATCTTTTAATTGATTTCAGCCTTATTCCTGATATTTCCAAACTCTTTTTTGAACAATCCTGTACGCTTCTTTATTCCTCCTTTCGAATCGTGATGTTTCTGGATTCAGTGCACCTGTTTCTTGTTTTTCTTTTCATATTTCTTTCTCCACTATAATTTCCTTTTGATGTTATCTTCTCTCATTTTGTAATCTATTACCACTTTTACTAGAGGCATATCTTCACTTCTTCGGGCGTGTCGGGCGAAGAAGCCATTGTATGGCGAAAAACACGTGTTGCGCTTTTGTTTTGTAAAACTGTTTAGTGAAAACCTCACAATAAAGCATTCGCTGATTCTCTTTATTTCTACACTTCCTCGACAGATATCAATTTTTATCATGTTCAGATTATGGAAGGTGAAAATACCCAAAGAAGGTTGATGAAAACTCTGATTTCCTTCACAGAAAATGACTTCCGTTTTCAGTCTGGAATATAATAAGAGGCCTCAAAAACAACAAAGCACCAGGAATAGATAACCTAAAAAGTGAAACTTTCAAACTAGCGGCTGAGTTTATAGCAGGACCGATATCCCAGCGGTAGAAATCGGCTACTCCATTGTGCTTTAAAACTTCCATAGTTACTCCTGTTTTCAAGAGTGGATGTAGAGATGAGGTAGTTAACTATAGACCAGTATCTTTAATATCAAATCTCAGTAAAATACTAGAAAAAATGATCAAAGTAAGGCTAGACTCATTTATACAAAAACCTATGATATTATCTGACTTACAGTTTGGTTTTCGGACAGGAAAATCCACCGAAAATGCGGTATTACAGCTCACTAATTACGTTTACGAAGCACTTGATAGAGGCAAACCATCACTAGGGATTTTTATTGATCTATCAAAAGCATTTGATACAGTTAACCACTCCATTCTATTATGGACTCTGGAAAACATTGGAATAAGAGGTAATGCATATAATTGATAGAGACATATCTCACGGGTAGAAAACAGATTGTTAAAATAAGGAATATGAAAAGCGGTGAGAAGAGAATTGAATGCGGAGTGCCGCAAGAAACTGTTTTGGGTCCGTTGCTTTTTAATATTTATGTGAACGGACCGTTTTCGCCTGGAACCGCAGGACGCATAATAAGTTTTGCAGACGATACTGTTATTCTATATTCTGAGGAATCTTGGTCTGAGGTCAAAGACATGGCAGAGAAAGATCTAGAAAAAATCAAAGATTGGTTCGATCATAAACATCTTTCATTGAACTTCAATAAAACATATTACTTGCCATTTTCTAATAATAAAGCTACATTTCCTTAATTCAATCAAATAACTATCCGAAACTCCTTCAAGATATCCCCAGCTAACTATATAAAGTATTTAGGGTTACTCATAGATCCTCACTTGAGATGGGACTTTCATATCAAGCACATTGTAAACAAATTGCGACGTCAACTGAAAGATATACTTAACATTGAACAAAAAAAAAATTTACTTTAGTCTGGTTCAAAGCCATTTGATATACTGCATAATAGGATGGGGTGGGGTATCCAAATCACATCTTTGCCCACTCATTCAAAGAAAATTTTTTAAACGGGTCTTGAAAAAACCGCCCCGTTATCCCAGTAACATGATATATAAACAATCAGGAGTATTTGATCCTAGACAGCTGTTTTACAAATCACTGGTATTGAATCAATACAAGGAAAAAGAAACATTGTGTAGGCCAAGCCATAACTACGCCACTCGAAATAAAAACAGGTACATAGCACCATTTGCACACAAGTCAATAGGGCAAAGATCTTACCATTTTTGGCCCCGTTGTGTATGATTCTTTACCAAAAAATATTCAAACTCTTGGGTCGTATAGTCGATTGAAACATTCATTAAATGAATACATACGCAGCATACCTCGCACAAGAATTAGCGAAATATTTTTTCCAGAGTAATTAGATGTCCATTTCATACAATTCTGATATAAAAATTGGTATAATGATTAATCAGAACAATTGGATGTAAATATAAAAATCAACAAGTCAATTATGGTTCCGCTGAGACTTTTCATTAATCATTGATGAAACTGCATGTATTCGTTGTGCATTGCATTTTAATTTATTCTATTCCTCCACAGTTTATTTATATATAATTAAGAAATACCACATCACTTTGTTTTGTTTTATTCTCCAATGATTTTACATTATACATAATTACATAATAATATACATTTTAGATTAAGCTTTTGATATATGTGGATATATGTACCTATATCTGTATATATGTATATTCCTTATTTATTACACCACACACAAGTAACATATGTTGCTTCCGTGGATTTTACGATATTTATTTGCAATGTATTTCTCTTCTACTTATCTTGTATGTGAGCAAGTAAATATATTATTATTATTATTATCATACTCCATCATCTTTGGCAATCCGTCATAATGGGCGTGGAGAAACGTCATGCAATTATTTGTATTCTCTTAAGCAAATCATTTCAGTTTATACTCATATAATAGGGTGCATAAAAAATGTTTCCGCCATCTACAGCGGTCCGAGGTGGTTAAAAAACGGCATCACTAAGCTAACAATGCATTGTCATCCAAATTGAACATGTTTGTTAAGGGGTTGAGAATAACTATTTCAAAGTTCAGTTGCAAGATTTTACTGACGTACTTACGTACATACTTGTCATGAAAGTAAACGCGAGTTAGTTTATCACCCTTATTATCATTTTCTGAATAGAACACTTTTCCTGTACGTGACAGGCTTGAAGATAAGAATTATAACTTTGTAAAAAGTAACACTGAAGGTACACATCAACAACAGATTTCAAACTACACGTTTTATCGCCCAGCTTCAATTCTTCAAACTATAAAGACCCGTATAATTTTGCGTCGATATCGTTAAAAACCACAACTTATACCGAAAAGGGAGTTGAAAGCTCTGAAAAATAACCATCAATTAAAAACAAGTTTTATTGGCGGGTGTACCTGTATAACCCCTTAGTAAATACGTCGCTGGTCATCAGCATGTCGAGAGCGACCAATGTTTTATAAACACTTTTAAAAGCCATAAATTTATTGGTTTTATTTTGACTCTCTCGCTTAATACTAAATCTGTGTCTTTAAAACAAGAAGAGGCTTTGTCGGCTCCTGGTACGGTGTTTCAGCCGCGGCCTTGTAGCTTCTACGGAGCGGGCCGTAAAGGCCATAATGCCGTGGAACGAGTGCATTCCGCGCATTTTTTGACTACTGTAAGAATCTCATTTTGATCATAGACAATTTTAACGTTATACTGCGGGAATAATCGCTGCTGCCGCTCTCCCTTTTTATGGCTCCCTCGAAATTCTCCACACGCGACCAATTAGCATTCAGGCCTTCTAATACGACGAGCCATTGCAAAGGAGGAATGGTCCTTATGAAGAGATTTTTAATTTCGCGAATTTGTGCCGGGGTTCAAATTTATTGTCGGAAATGACGAGTTCTTTCAGACCACTGGGTCTTGCTATGAATATGCTGGAAAATAATTCCATGAAAATCTATACTGATACTAAAAATGTAAAAGTGTGTGAGGATGGATAAATGTATGGCTGTATGTTTGTGGATCTTTCACGCCTAAATGACTGAACAGATTTAGATGAAATACAGCTTACACATCAGAATAACATATAGGCTACAATTCACAACTGGTCGAAAATAACAATGAACAGCAAGAGGATATCGGAAACGGTAAGTGATACGGTGTCAATTGAATTAGAGAAAAGTAGCGCATTTATGTGCCTAATAATATGCCATTTAGAAAGTTTTGATATTCCGAGTAGCGATATCCGAGAAAACCCGAAATTTGAGAATTTGGTTTTATTTTCTCCTAGCTTTCTTTTCAGAGGAAACGTAAAACAAATAACACTTTGCCATGCCCCTTTTTAAGGACCACACGATAACGTAAGCTGAATTTTTCTGCAATGTTTTGTCTTTCAGAAAAACATCTTCAACTATGTTCTTCAATTTTAGATAGTACGAGCTGAAAAAAATTACACATAATGTTCGGTTGTCATAATAATAGAGTTGTAGACTTTTTGACATATCACCGTTCCTACTTTTACATCTCGTTACCTACCTATTCCAAGTTTCCTACATTTTCTTGTAACAGTAAAAGCCAAAACTTTCCTTTCCCAAAAATGAATTTCTCCTAAAAATATACAACTTTCAATTGGAACTCTTTTTTTAAGACTTTTTTCATTCTAGCTGATATTTGATAAAAAATTGTGAACATGATTTATATTTATATTGAAAGGGTTATATTTTTATACTTATATATTTTCATTATTTTGTTACTTCCTTTCTTGGGAAGTTTCTCACATTTTCGAAGATGGAGAAGTAGAAAGCGAAAAATCTTTATTTCCCATATTACTATTGCTTAACTGTATATAACCATATCTCCTGGATATTATACTTTCTGTAGTGAGATTGAAGATTTGTTGATCAGTCTTCATCAAAATTTTCTAAAAGTAATCATCAGTTGAAAATATATTTGACCACATGTAAACATTACATCAAACACAGCAACATTAAAAAAATAATAAGAACAAATACAAATACAAATAATTTATTCAAACACAAATACATAAAACAGATGAGTTGTCTAATAATAATAATATGGTGAATAAATGGAGATTCAACTCACGACATAACATAAGAATAATAGTAATAGTTCAGTCTTGTAAAAAGCATATAACTGTTATTGGCAATAAAAAGCAACTTTAAATTTCATACAAGCATTAGCTTTTCAGACATATTAGCATATTAGGTATATTATATATACGATGCACAAAATATAAATAAAAAACTAGCAGAGTCAATTACAAGGTCAGTGGTATGAGAGATACATAATAATATATTAAGAAAACGTATTAGATCTAAACAGTGTGAGGTCATACATTTTCATTAATATTCCTTATTTCTTTACGAGGCAGAAGACTGGTTCATTTTGTATACCCTGTGATAATAACTTGTAAACTTTAGGCCTTAGATGATTGGAATTTTTTTGTCCCACTGTTTCTTTCTTGAATGGTATCGTAACATTCTTGTTGTTTCTTGTATCGTGATTGTGAAATATAGGGTCAAATTAGATTTGTTCTTCTATTGTACAATAGCTAAAGTCATGAAGTAAAGCATTTTAGGGTCAAAAATTTCAGAGTCTCTATATAGAAGGTCACTAGGATAGTCATAGTATTTTTGTAATATATATCTAAAGAACCATTTTTGGATTACTTCAAGCGATCTGAGGTAACTTTTGGAAACTGAACCCTAGCCAACTATGCCATAATTCACAATGTCTTTTTTGATCTTATAAAGAATACATCGTAATTTTTTTATTATGTATTTAATTTGGTGGTCCCATCTGAGGTGGCAGTCTATTATTATACCTAAGTATTTAATTTTTTTTTCAGGTTTTATCACGGTTTCTTCAGATACTACAAGTTCGTATTTTGGTACGTTAACATCAAAGCTACTAAAAGGTAAGTTAAAACTTTTTTCTTAATTGATTGATAGTAGCCTATAGTCAAAGCATTTTTCAACTTCATACATATCTTGTTCAAGTTTGATTTTTAAGTCATATACCAATTATTGTCACTACATAAAATTACAGTATCGTCCACAAAACTGATAAGTTTTGAATGGGTTTTTTGAGGAAAAGATTATCTAGATAAATATTGGGGTTCACCACAAGTTACTTTTTGTTCAACACTAACCTTTTCGGATATTTTTACTCTTTGTATTCTGTTAGGTAACTACAGAAGAGATCATGTGGTTTGCCTCTTCGACAATATCGAACGCTATTGTTAGGTCCAAGAAAATAACGACTGCTGGCTTAGAATGGTTCATGAAAGCATTTATGTTCCGAGTCAGTATTCTTATTGGATCTTGGGTGGATCTTTTTTCTATGAAGCCATTTTGCCATTCAGATAACATTTCGTATTTTTCAAGAAACGTATTCAACCTTTTCTGTAGTATCTTTTCCATAATTTTGGCTAAACAGTATATTAGTGAAATCGGTCTGTAGTTGGTAACGTCGCTTGTTTTCCCATTTTCATGGATGGGCGTCATAACAGCCGTTTTAAAGGATTGGGGAAAAGTTCCCTGTTCCATTGATTTATTCATCATGAATATTAGCGGTTGCAGAATAAGTTTTGAAATCACTTTGAGAGTCTCTGCTTAGAGATCATCTATGCCTGGATACTTTTTGTTTTTGAGTTGTCTGATAATAATTTCAATTTCTTGTTCCATAACTGGGTTTAAGTATTTAGAGGTCAGTTTTCTTTTTCTCTGTATAATTTGGAGGTCTTTTTATTTCTTTAGCAAAATCTTTTTCTACGGAAATGAAATGATCATTGAAATGATTCGTGATATCTTTGTGGCTTTGAGCTGTTCGCCACTTTGTGACTCATATTAATTGATAATTTTTCCTCTTTGGTAGTGATTTCATTTACGATTTTCCATATATTCTTGGAGTCATTTTTCCCTCCTCAAAGCGTTTTCTATAGAAGTCATTTTCAGTTTTTTGTATCAATTTTTGTAGTTCCCTCTTATAAGATGTATATTCTCCTCTCAAAACGGTGCTACATGGATTTTTTGTCAGTGCGCGATACATGCGGTTTTTTTTGTTGATCGCATTGACTAGAGATATGGTAACCCATACTTTTCGTTTGATCTGATTACTTTTCAATTTTATGAGTTTGATGCTCTCATTTATTTTTTTTTTGCAGGATATTTATGAATTTATCTACTCCAGCATCAAGGTCATCGCATCCCAAGAACATCATTATCCAGTTTTTTATAAAATGCATTTTTTTAATTTTTATTTTAACTTTTTGTGGTAAGACTATTTGTAGTAATGTTGTGAAGTGGTCTGTGATTGTGGTTTCAAGTATTATGAGTAAAATTGTATCATAAGTTTGGTTTCCCGATTTTATAAAAATATGATCTAGACAAGTATGTGATTCATTTTGTATTCTAGTCGGTCTGTTTATTGCAGATACATATCCATTCTCACTCAAAGTATCCGGGTAGTGTTCTAAATCAGGTGAATTATTCAAGAGATCAATGTTTATGTCTCCAACTATTATACTGTAATCATAAATTTCTTTGTCCGTCTCAATTATAGAGCTCAACTCATATATAAAAGGTTCAATTTCCGTTGACGGAGATCTATATAATGCATTTATCATGAGCGTTTCATTATTCATTCTTAACATTCAGCTATATCTAACCATGCTAGATATAGCTGAAGATTGAAACATATTTGGAAGGAATGGCGAAGGTACCAGGTATAAGAATAGCTGATGAATTGTTACTTTGAAATTTTGGTCCTATTTGCTGTCCATTATACAGCAAATAGGACATTTACATGTCCATTTACATCAATCACCTTTACGGAATCAATTTAGAATACATATGTTGCTCATGTAACATCAGATCTTGCAATACATACGAATACAATAACAAAATTGACAATTAAAAACATAGAACCGGTTGAATTTTTCTCGAATGCTTGTACCGAAAAAGATGTTTTTACAAATCGAAGCAAACTATTCTCTAAGTTCAAAAGAAAGGCAGACAGTGAATCATCGACCAATAAAGATCGTTTCAATTAATTAAAATCTGTTTGGAATAATACTCTTCAAATCGAATCAATTTGAATTCAATAAATCGTTCTTCATAATCAGTATGATAAAAAAAATAGAATTTTATTGAAGTTTATAGGAGTTTTCTCTAAGAAGCTTGATACCAGAGAGTTGTAGGACTACAGTAGGGATGAACCATGATGTCTAACAGGCCTTCTTACAGGTCACTATTTGAATCATCACATGCAGAGACTCAGACTGTCGAAAGACACTGTGTGTCGCCTCTGTTTGGAAAATGGTGAAACAGCAGAGCTGTTCGGCGTTCGGCAGAGCCGTACTCTTACCAACTGACCAGAAAGACTACTCATCATACAAACTAATCTTCTTAGTTAAGAAACTTGGTTTATTTGGTCGAGTATGAATAGGTATGAGCCACAATAAACCCTAACTTAACTTGTCTCTAAGAAGCTGAATGTGACAGGAAACGGCATAATGTCAAGACAAATATTTCCTCTAGCTGTTTCGATTAGCTTGTCAAATCACAAATTATATATTATGGCTTCCAAGAAACAATATTTTAATTATCCTATAGCTTTATTTGCTTCAGGTGAGATTATCGCAAAGATGGTACGACATGTACATCTGCCGAACTGAGTCATGGCCATCAAAATGTGCAGTAGATGTGTAGAAATCTGTTATCAGTCTGTTAGATCGTTCGAGCCGTAAACGTAAAATTGCAAACAAAAGTTTCCATTCCTTTTTTCCTAATACTTTCTTTGTCATACACCGACCCAAACTTTACGCAGATACGATTTCTCCCACCGGCCATGACGCAGTCCCGTAGCTGTATGTGTAATGTTTTCTTTGTTTTTATCTATATATTGTTAAACTAGGACGGATTGACAAAATAGTGTTCAGACATCAAATACCCCGATATCTAAGTACAGTGAATCCGTAGGATACCAACACTTTTTGTTGAAAATAATGTTTAGTATCAATTTTGGAGTATCTATTTTTTCTATAGAGCTGTTTAGGTCTTCTCCCCTTACTATGATTCTGTATGTTAAATGATACTACACCAATAAGTAACAATAAGCAACAGAATTTTGGTAGAAGATATTTCAATTTGTTCAACAGTTTGCCTGTATATCTGACTTAGGAATTCCCAAGTATTTTATTCCATCAAACATTGAAATTATGTTAACAAGTTACAGTACTTCTCTATTGTAACTTGTTAACTTGTTTCATCCGAATAAAATACTGTCATATCATCAGTTATTATATCACCACATATTGGTAATTTGAATATATGGAAATTATCAAAGATCCCAAAATAGTTTCTTTCGGAACCCCATGTTTAGTATTTTTTTGAAGTACCTAATTTTCCGTTGACTTCAAAATACTGGATTATGTTGGTGAGATAATATTCGTTGAATTATAGGAATATCCCCTCAATCTGATACGTTCTATAGAGTTGAGTAGATTGTTATAACTTACATGTCGAATGTTTTAGCTAGATCAGCGATAGCCTGGCATATCGAAGAAAGGCTGAGATCTCATCTTTATATATGGTAGGTAGGTAGGTAGGTCTAGAGTGAGTGGATCTATTCGACCCTCCACCATAACCCACAAGAGTTTATTGTGGCTCACACCTCTTCACCCTCGGCCAAATAAACCCAGCTTCTTAACGAAGCCGATTAGTTTGTATGGTGAGTGGTCTTTCAGGTCAGATGGTGAGAGTACGGATCTGTCGAACTCTGAAAACCTGGGCAGGCACAGAGTATATGCTCTGCTGTTTTATCATTTTCCAATCAGAGGCGACACACACTGTCTTCCGACAGTGCAAGTCTGCATATGATGATTCAAATGACAGTGAAGACCTGTTGGACATCGTAGTTTATCCCTACTATAATCTAACAACTGTTTGGTATCAAGCTTCGAAGGGTGAATTAACGCCTTGGGTTGAGGCAACCCTGGAAGATTCTGCCAGGAGTTCATAAATCTTCTTGTCATCCAGATGTTTGCCAGTGACAGGTTCTGGTCCGATGAAGCCGCTTGCAGCCCCCTTCTTCGCAAGAGAGTCAGCAGCAGCAGGCCAGTATGGCCAGGAATCCAGACCAGAGACAATTTGTTAAGTCTTTCTATCGAGGAGAGTCGTTTTTGGCAGTTTGCTACCAATTTAGACGTTGCTTGGTAGAAGCCAAGAGCTTCCTACTCCGCTTGACTGTCCGAGAATATTTTTATTGACTTGCGAGTGAGGTTGGATTTATCCAATCTCTTCGCACCCAATTCAATAGCGTAAATTTCCGCTTGAAATACAGTCGCATAAGTTCCTAGGCAGGTAGATAACTCTGTCCTGGGTCTGCGACTAAAAACAGCTGCACTAGAACCGGAAGGTGTTTCTGATCCATCTGTGAACCGTCAACTAACTGCTCTTGATATTTCCTTCTCCCGGAGGATCCATTCCTCTCTACTCGGGAATAGTACTTTATGAGGCAGTTCTTAGTTGACAGTTGGAGGCAAGAAGTCAGAGGTCATTTCCAGAATGCTGTGACTTCCAATGTCAACCAACAGTCTGTTGCACTCTGTATTGAATTGATTTGTGCAATTGACACAAATGGCCGCTGACGGTGTGGTACTGATGACAACCACTGATAGCCAGACAAGCGGACTCTGAAAGCCAGAGAGCTTCGTTTGGGCCGCTTTCTGTAAAGCCTTCGGCCGCCAAGCAATTGCACCATAAGTGGTCATTGGTCTGACAATCATCACATCCAATGAATTTGTTATAGCATTCGAAATTTTTAAGCCCCTCTTGAAATTTATCAAAAAGTTGTTAGAGGTCATTCCGAATCGAATGAGCCCTGGATCATAATTTTCGGTGCCCCTGGACAGAAGTTCCAAAAAAGGATCTTGTGACCTAGACCAATTCTTGAGATTTATTCACGGATAGAACTGTTACAAATAACACCACAGGTCTAATTGGAAAATTTGTTCGTTAATTTTATTCGATGAAGATGGTTGTGGATTCATTTTATAATAAAGTTCAAATATATCCCTGCATTCATCAGTTTAATAGTGCAGTTTACACTCACAATAACTAATGTATTCTTTTCAAAATTTTTTCATTATATAATTTGAGGAAAAAATAGACCACCCAACTTAAGGACTCCGTCCCTGCAATCCCAGTAGGATACAGCAGCCACAGAAGTCGCTTGTTCTTCATCTGCAGGTATTCCGCAAGGAGATCGCACACAAAAAGGGTGATATATCAAGAAGATGATTAAAGTAGTTTCAGCAGAAATATTCGAGTAGGTAAATAGGAACATTCCCGGAGTTTTTGAAATTTGCCTCTGTCAGATCTCACCTTATAAATTATCTCGCGTATTGTACATTTGTGCGACCGATAAATATCCGTAATTTACGCGTACCGAAAGGAAAATAAAGAGACGGAGGCAAATACAAGTGGAACGTATTAATGCTTATTAATATCCTGTTTTACTGTTGGATGTTCAGAGGCTCCCACTGAGTCTGAATTATTGCTGGTTCTGGACAAATAAATGACTTAGAGACATAATCAAGTTGTTGTTACTCACTTCTTCGCCAGTGTGATGAGAAAAAAATTATTGAGGGAGATAAGGTGGATAACGTTGAAGATACTTTGATGTTTGCCTGTTGTATGAAAGTAAAATACTCACATGACAAAGCTAAGGAAAGTAACCCCAACTAGCAGTTTCGTATTTTATAATAGTTGCGGAAACGTTTCGGAGAAACAAATTATAAAACTGCATTTCTCCCAGAAATGTTTTCAATATGTTTATAAAACTGCTATAAAATAAAATTATTAATTATACAAAAATTCACTCTGTCGACGTATTCATTTTCTAGTCGCAAACTTAACTCACTTTATTCTAAATAATATAATGTTATAATATTTATGTACTTTTCAGCTGTAAATATCACTATAGGTGCGGTATTTCATATTTTCAACTCATCTAATTTCAGTATCCCGGATCGCTATCATTACAAATGGCGTCGTTCTATAAAATGAATTGATATCAGTAGCAAGCATTTCAACGTATTTTAGCTACTATGTTACCCCTATAAAACTGTTAAGAAACACTTAGTTCTGGGAGTCTCATTAACGACATAGGAAATAATCTCTCTAGCAATTCCTTACTCTTTGTAGATGATTTGAAAATCTTTCGGCCCATTACATCACAGGAGGACTGTTTGATCTCACAAAAAGACCTTGACTTTTTGTACAATTGGTGTACCGAAAATAATCTTCCCCTCAATACAAACAAATGTAAATACTCAAAATACATCCTTA